TTTCGAGCTCCCCTAAGACGTAAGCCCTAGGCCAAAACCCTAAATCTAAGCTGAACCCTTTGAAGACTTTTTGGTATTATAGGGCTGGCTTTTGTTTGAAGAAGCCCCAGGTGTGTTCCCTGTACGTCCTAGCCTCCTTGTTGTAAGGATCTCTTTCAACAGAACCTCATTATTAGCTGTAGGGTGTAGGGTTTAGGGCTCCTCCAGATAAAGTTGGGAATCAGGGGGATGATTGTTTTAACGTCGGAAGGCACGTTATGGCATCCGTTCTAGAAAGAAGTTTGCGAGCTGTGAATGCCCTGAACGAGCATCCAGGTCAGCTGAAGTTGTTTTTTCGCTTTATGAAGCATAGCTTAGGAGGACCCCCTACCCTGTAATGGTGGTATAATAGAATATAAGAGGACCCTAATATAATCCTTATTATCCATAATAGTCACTATTACTGGGTGGGGGGTCCACCTGAAGCATAGCCGAGATCATGGTGCCCAGGGGTAATCGAGCCGGTCGTTAGTAGAGAATGGAGGCAAGGATCGGTTTAGGGTTTAGGGTTTAGGCCCTCAATAGCGGAGTAGTCTCTCTCTCTCTCTCTCTCTCTCTCTCACATTCCCTACTAACAACCAGGATGTTACCCCAAAGCTTAGCATCTAGACATCTCTGTGAAGCCCCGTTTTCTGTTTCGTTTTCCATTTGATGTCCATGTGGTGTTCCATTGGCCTCCAAGCCCTGGACTCTAAACCCTAGCCCGCAACACTAAGCCCAAAACCCAAAACCCAAAGCCCAAACCCCAAAACCCTAAGCCTTAAGCCCAAAAACTTAAGCCCTGACCCCAAAACCCTAAGCCCTCAACACGAAACCCGATGCCCTAAGCCCCAAACCCTAAGCCCTAGGCCCTAAACCCTACGGTCCGCAAAAAAAACTACCTGAACCCTAGCATGTGGCGCTCCGCTGAGTAAACCCGAAACTCTAAATAGTAGTTTCCATTTTCATTTCCATTATACCAATATAACACCTGTATTGCATTATAATTCCTATATAACGCCTAAACAATCCATAGAACTCATGTAGTTTCCATTTTCTTTTCCATTATCCCAATATTACCCCTGAACCCTAAATCCTAAACCCAAGATAACCCTAATATTCTGTCAGGTGTTGGAAGCCATAGCTGCGGGACTGATCTTCACGGTTTTACACCTTGTCTTCCGCCGAGGGCTTAGGGGTTTAGGAGTTTAGCGTTTAGGGGCTTAGGATTATGGTTAAAAAGATTTGGAATCTAGGGTTCTAGGGTTTAGGGATTAGGGTTCTAGGACTGGGGGTATAGGGTTCTAGGGTTTCGGGCCTAGGTTCTGGAGACTTAGTTGACTCGCAGGAAAGCAACGGGGTCATAGAATGGAGGCTTAGTCCTGTGGATGGCAGAATCATGCAGTAGCCGTAGGCCTCACGATCTAAATTCAAGCCTCGCTGCGGCCACAGACGCACAGGCATCTGACTTTAGGATTTTCTGGATTAGTGTCCGATTCTGAGGCTTCTTTGTGGAGTTCAAGAACTCGATGCATGCGGTGGTTGTGACAGACATGCGCCTCTTCTACATCCGCCTAGGCCTCAGGAGAAGGGTTCCAGGGCCTGCAATGTGCTTGCCAGACGCACCTCCGGGGCTCAAATTGTAGGCCTTGCTGGTCCCAAATCAGGGGCAGCTATTCTTAAGGGGATGAGTACTGTGTGGTTGTTAACTATCCGTCTTTCCACCTGTCCCTGGGCTTGTCAAGCATGTGCAAATGTAGTCCTATCTATGATCACCAGGCTTCTGCTGACTTGAAAATCTTTCGGGCCCGCTCAAGGCCGTGTTGGGGGCTTTGGGGGGTATAGGGTTCTGTGTTCAAGTGCTATAGGTTTGAGGTAGCGCGCAACTCCATCACACTAGATGACCTCCGGGCTGCAGCAGTGCTAGTTCTCATCCCGCTAGCATGCGATATCCATTCAAAAAAACTGCTAAAGTAATGTTACGAACAGACTGTATGTCCTAGAGAGTTGGAAAACGGCCCAATTCATTAAAGAATCCAGGCAGCCCCATCCCCATACCCAAGCATGGGACCGAACACTTTGAACGCATTTGGACGCATAAGCTGGACACCCCAAACCCTAAACCCTAAACCCTAAATCCTAAACCCTAAACCCAAACCCTTTCTACCTACATATATTTAAACCTTAATAGGGCTGTGCTGTTTTTTTGTCCCTTTAGGATTTAGGATTTGGGTTTTGGGTTTTGGGAGGGTACTGGAGGCACCTGGAGGCCCCTCAAGGCGCCCTGAAGCGTTGGAGGCTTATGGAGGCCCCTGGGCCTGTACGGGGGGAATCTGTCCGGGTTGAGGAGCTTCCACCTGACCCTTGCAAAGGCCCTTAAAGGGCCTTTCAGAGCCGGTTTCTGGAGGGCATGTGGAAGGTCTTGGAGGCCTCCTAGAGATGTTCAGGCGCCTGTAGGGGCTGCAGGGGCCTCCACAGGGCCTCCGGGCCCTCTGGAGGTTTCTGGAGGCTCCTGACACCCTTGGCTTCTGCAGCCCCTGACTGAAGGTCCCTAAAACCTGGAGGCCTGGAGGCCCTGGAGTCCCCTGGAAGCCTCTTGGAGGCCCCTCTGGAGGCTCAAAAATTTGGTCAATTCAAAAACGGTAAAACAATTGATGCTCCATTTTCAATTTAGATAAATCAATGGCGTGAAGGCTGTTAAAATTCTTGTGGATGCTAGGAAACGGCGTGTTAATGTTTGATGCTAGGAACCGGGTGTGTGAATGGTTGTTCTGGATGCTAGGAATCGGCGTGTTTTGATGCTAGGAA